ATTATTTTCCATTTCACGTAATTAAGTACTGTGCTTTTTAATTTGACGACAATGTAACAATGCACATATTTCGAGAAATCTAATAAATGTGTAAGTTAAAATGTGCAACTATTACTTGGTAGTAAATGTAACTAAATGTAAATTTTCAATATTTATTGATTTGATATTTCAATATTTATTGACTTTGTCAAAATTTACACGGAACAATCTAGTCGTATTTTTTTATATAAAAAAGTGATAGAAATGAGACATGTCCTATATACGTACTGTAGTTAATACTTCGTTATTTTGATCAATTTTTATTTTAAAATATTTCAAATTTTATTATTACTGTACGTAATTAGTGCCTTACTTTACAGGTCTCGTCATTTTGTCACTTCGAGAATCGCAATTTCGCTCTTCGATATATTTCGAATTGTAGTTAATTTCAAAGTGTTTCGGAGTGCGCCGCGACGATCACAGAATCGCATTTAAATCGTTTTATGTTTTTTCTGTATTTTATTCATATTGTCGTAATGTAAGGTTCCGATTAAAGAATAAAAACTTTTATTTCTGAATGATACAATGGTATGATCTTATTTCTTAAACCGCCAGTATGCTAATGACGCCGGCTCGATTTATTATCGGTAAGTATGCGGAGTCTAAATGACTCATGCGTGCGCGCCATGCGCAGTAGCGGGTGGAAGCGTCAACGGTTGACCGACACCTCCCCGGGTTAAATAAAACAGTCGTCTCAAATTTTATTGAGTTTGAATAGAAGATGATCTGGTTTTGCTTGGGAGCCGCTTGGCTTATGAGTATATGTTACATGTTGCGTAGGTGCGTTATTTCCAAAGCTACAATTGTGATAACAGTGTCCGCATAATGGTCGTAGTATTTTAACAATTACTTTAAATAACCCTATTTTATATAGAAATACAATTAGCATGCCTGCAAGGGCGATGTATCCAGCATATGCTAGGTATTCATAAAATTTTTCTTTCCATGTTTTTATTCTTTGGTGATGCAATATCTTATCAGTTATATCTTGCAACTCTCCGAGTGTCTTACCCATATGCTGCATACTTTCTTTATCTAATATATTCACGGTAAGTAAATCTTTAGGAATATTAGTTTCTTGAATAGTTAAATTTGGCAGATTAATTCTAGCATTGATTATCTCATAAGATTTCGAATTGTTATTTATTATATTGCTCGGTCTCATTGTAGCTGAAAGTGATATTCCTTCACAGTCAGGGGCTTGTTAATATTATATTTCCGTATATGTAGCTGACGGCGTGCTTAACTAGGGTACAACGACCGGTAAGTGAGATCATTCCTTATGCGTGCATGATTACGCAAAATAATGATATTATCTGCTGCTTTTTCATTTTCTAATATTTACTATAATCATTAAGTAATCATTAAGTACCATGTACATACAGTCAGGGCCAGATTTAGATCGTAGGGGGCCCCTAAGCACTGGCTTTAAAGAGAGCCTTTTTAATTTTTTCTGTCAATTTAATACTTGTATGAAATTAGTTGCATAGAACCTTTGAGGCCCCTGCTGGCGCGGGGCCCTAAGCAATTGCTTATATTGCTTATGCCAAAATCCGACCCTGCATACAGTACATACAGTAATCATTAAGAACCGTGCTTTGGTAATCATATTCTCAATTGCATTTTTATAAAGAAATAATAAAGTCCTTTGTAGTAATTATTTTTTTGCGTTAATGCAAAACATTTTTTATTTTAAATATTATTTATTTTAAATCATACACCATTTAATACTTTAATTCATAAAATTATAAAATTTTTAAAATAAAAATTGTATAAATATAGAACAACTCTTCGTATTACTAGTTAATAGCAGATTTTGTATCAAAATATTAAGACTACAGACGTTTTTAAATGAGAAGGATGCTTAAAATTGGTTACACAATCTCAGATTGTCAAAAATGGAATTGGTCAACTTGAAACATACCTCTCTTTAAAAACTACTGTAGCCTCGACATTTTGATATAAAAATTTTTGTCTTCAAATAATCTTAGTCTACTATTAACTGGTGATATGGTCAGTTTGCGACTAGAAAATTTTATGAAAGCATAAATTGTAAAATATAATATTTGGAAATTAAAGTTTTGCAGATATAGACATTGAGAATACAATTTTTAATGTAATTTTTATCTATGAACATATTTACTTAATTTTTTTAACAAATTTAATTGTTCAATGTTTTTTTGCAAAAAAAAACAAATTACCAAAGTACCGTTTTGAATATGTAGCAATGACACTGTCTTTCACACATTTTCTTATTCTAATAGTCTTGTGATAAGGCAAATGTAAAGTAGTGCAAAGATAGCAAAGGGAGAAGAAACAAAAAATTGAAAATTTAAAAAAAAATATGAATGTTTAACTGTATTAAAAAAATTTTTGTCAATATATTATGCATCTTAATCGCAATCAAAGATATTAATCAACGATTATAGTCTGATGAATAAAAGCAATCTTTATAATTATTTAATATTTATACAATTAATTGAATGACTTACAATAATCAGAACGGGTGGGAAAAGTTGTTTCCTTTACGAGAAAAAAGATAGACATATACAAATAAAAAACTATGAATCCACTGATATTGCAATATTAAACAGTTTTAAGTATAACTAGTTAAGTTTTAAGCATAAATAGTTTAATAGTTAATAGCTAATAGTTTAATAGTTAATAGCAAAGCAGTTATTAATACAAAATTGGTACTAATTCTATAATAATAAAATTGTGTCATTTACGAATCGATTTTATTTTGCAAATAGCACGATAATATTGCTATTTATTCTACCGCAAAATGCCTTCTTTACTAATTGCAATTAAATTTATTAAAATTCGAGTATTCTTTCAATGTCTTTATTTCGTATTTTATTATCTTTGACTGCTCTATCTATGAAATTTCTATTCCGAAATGTTAGTATCTCCTAAAATGAGATGTCGAATTCAAAACTGAATGAGTGCACACTAATTCTCCCATGGTAGCGGAAGCGCAATTCTCGTGAGTGGTGAAATCTGCTTTCGACTGACAGCCCCCAATCGAATCGATTGTCGCTAATTTCGAACAATTTACTTATATAAATTACATGAAGGATTTTTGAACTTGGATGCGAATAAAATAATTAACATAGTATGTAGTCTTTTGACATTTCTTAGGATAGTTAATTTTTTTATCTCTGCTGCAAATAATCATTTTTATTGCCAATGCATTAAATTGTCGATGAGTATCATTTGATGTATCTTAAATATATTTCTCAAATAATACACGAGATTATAGTTTAGCTCAAATTCTATTAAATATTACAGGAACGATGGCTGTACACTAATTTAATGTCGGTTTTATATGTGTATAAATGTGTATAAATATGTTGTATAAAATTTCGGGATGTTTACTCTTGTGATTAAAATTCATATGTTTTAGTTGAACATTTCTTTGTTTAATTTTCCTAAATAGATACAATTACTTTGTGAATTTGCTTAGTGATGGTACGTTAATTTTTGTTTGTAAGCGGCTTCCTCCGCTTTCTGCTTCAACTCCGCTAAGATCTCGTTCATCGTCATTTTTTTTGAAGCCATCTTCTGGAGAGCATCTCGCACATCTTCGCTAGAAATACTCTTCATCTCATTGATCAAATTAAGCTCGCGCCACATTTTGATGAAAAATGTTGCAAAACCTTTGTTGTATGTGCCGAATTCATCGTTTCTGTAGTCCCATGGTATCACGTAATGATAATTCAGCCAATACGATTTATTAAGAAAGAAGACGGAATTATCATCGACTGGAAATCTGAAATATAAATGTCAAACATTAGATACGCACAGAGTAAATCTGCTACGCAAAACATTATGCCATTAAGAAAATACAATATCTTGTTAAAAAACAGGAAAAGAATATAGATACATAATGAAAATTCTATTGACAAATTTTAAATAATGTTACAGTAATTTTTTAAGATTATTAATCCATGATAATAATAAAGCGAAAGGTAAAATTGAAATTTGCATATGCAAAAACCGTGAAAATTATGATATATTTCACTGGTTTTTATTGAAGATCTCTTTATTTAATCCGGAGAAAATAATATTTTAATAAAATACAATTTAATAAAACACATGTATACCGTCCCCATCGACAAGGACAGTACCGTGACTTTTCGGCATTTTATAGAGCAGTCTGTAGATAAGTGAAATAGTATCACGCATATTAACAAAATAGGATATTAACTTGGCTCCCATCTTCAAACCCCAAACCAATACTGCACTGTTAACTAGCCAAGAAATATGCGTTGTTATTAATAATCGCGCTGCACCGATGATCAGCCATGAGTTTATGAACGATTCATCCCAGTATTCTATTGGTGCGTTAATAGGCAGTAGAACTCCGAAAATGATGAATAATAACCAATAGAACCTGTATAACATATTTATTTTAATAAATTAGGAATTAATATACACATATTAATATACTAATATATATTAATGTGTGGTAAACATAATATGAATGTGTTTACAGAAAAAAAGATACTTTATTCTTAATAAGAAAACGTACTTTCGTTGTATCCATACGAATCCATCGGCCTCTACATCGCGCATATCGATGTCCTTCGCGTATTTCTCTAAGTCAGACGGTGCCGATAAAATATTACTGATTACGTGGGAATAGAAAAATCCTTTTTTGTGATTATACGGATCCTTTTCGGTACAATAAAATTTGTGGTGAATTCTATGCCAAAAAACCCAATTATATATCGATCCCTGAAGACAAACAAATTTTTATATAATCACTTTCATAATTTACATGATTACATTCTTTATATAACATTCAAGATTTGCAATAAATGCGCGATAAATATTTACTAAGAACGGATTCAATTATAATTCTGCCTTTATTGTGTAATTATTATATAGTGTACATTTTCTCTATTATAAACTTATTTTTGCATTATATTAATTTTATGTAGTTTTTTAATCATGTATTAGTATTTGAATTATAGACCAATAAACATTTTTGCTATCGCATGTGATATTTTGACTTTTGTTAAAGGAAAGATAAATAAAGGAACGTTAAACATACGTGATAATAATTTATTCAAATTAATCTTTCGTATGTATTTAAAATTATACATTGCATTGCTTGTAAAGTATGGATTGCAGGTAATACATGGTCTTTTACAATGCTAGTAAATATTTTAACTGCGTAATAAACATGAACAATGTTTGAAACACATTGATAAAACAAAATGCACACTAAAGGAAATCGAGGGTAACATTCCACGTTAAAAGAGATAAATTCATCCGGATGTTTATATACATATTTTATCGGTGTACAATATACTTACCACACCTGCGAGGGTGTGTGCTAATACGAGAAAAAATCTAAGTTGTGATACTGCAACGAACGTCGAATGTGCGTACAATCTATGAGCACCCGACGTTATTCCTATGAAAGCGATTGTGACGATAAATGAAACTGAAACCAACAGATTCAAATAAACATGAGAATTCATCGAAAAGGGAACCATAATTTGCATATTAATGCAGGGGCATTTAAAAAAACATTAATAAACATGCACTTAGAGCTTGCACTTTATTCTGTGAATTGTGTTTAGAGATGACAAAATACTTGTTTGTACATTCTTAATTCAATCATTATCTCAAAATAAGATGATCTCATAAAGAATTATCATAGCTAAATAAATATAGTTAATTAAAAAATAACGAATTCAATTTTTACATCTTAAATTATTATTTTGATAAAAGTGATTCGCGATCACGTCCATAGCAAAATTGCTTTTATTTCAGATAAATTTACTTTGCACAGATAAATAATTTTTTTGTACTATTTGAATCGTACTTCTATTCTATATTTCTATCGTAATTCAATGATTTGCAATACTTACGGTAGAAAACTGTCATCCATTTTGCTTTCGTGAATAAAATATATAAACCAATGATGCCCACAAGATGAAGATACAGATAGTACAAAACGGCTACCCAATTTATAGATTTCTTCTCCGTTTCTTTGCTGCTATTTTCGTCTTTAGGTTCTTTCATATCGATATCTGGCGACACTAGCGAATAACCCAAAGTCCATATGAAGTTTTTTGATAATAGAACTTATTATAGTTTGATAGTGCAGCAGTTATAATTAATAATTATTATTTCTTGCGGTAGTAAAAACCAAATAAAATTAATTATATGAAAGATTGGAAGATTATGGATTTATAAAGATGCATTATTTAAAAAAAATTTTTATCTGAAATTATTTTATATTGAATGGATCAGCAAATTATCGTCGGAATTTATGCAACAATTGATAAAATAAAAATACTTATCGAAGTTTGTGCGTTTTCACGAATATGTATTTCAAACTTACTTTGTATCGATGTTCACGTCTAAAAGGTCTAAAAGAAACTACAATCGAAGGTGACGTTGAGAATATTTTATCGGCCTTGTGACCCTGTTCAGAATTTCATTATTAGCGAGAATAACTTATTTTTTTCTTCGTCATTTCCTGTGCATAAAACTTCGGTACATTTGTTACGCAAGTACATGACAAGTGGTGAATTCTTTAATTAAGTTAGTCTTTGTCAAATTTTTTATTTTTTATATATTTTTCTTGTTTTTCTTTATGTTATTTCTCGATTCAATGTATGATATCACAAGTTAAGTCGAATTTAATTAACAAAGATAGCTCATTTAGAAATATATATTTAAAATACATATAAAACAAATTTTTTCTAGAAGCTAATTTAAAAAATTACTTTTTAAAATTTATTGTTATTTATTAAAGCATATATAAGAAAAAGTGTTTTGTTAATTTGATAATTTAAAATCTATGACAAGCTTAAATACATTACTGAGATTATTGTTGTTAACGGTTGCTCGTTAACAGGGATGACAAAAAAACAACTGTGACTTGAATATTTAGTTATGTAATATTAGCAAGAATAATTTAAAAATCTACATACAATTTATCGGGTTGCGATAGATTTAAAGTCTTTTATACTTTGATTATAATTAATAATTAATGTCAGTTTGTTTACTCATATTTTTTATATTTGCATTTTCTTTGTCTCATACATGAATTTTCTTTAATTATCACATATACATGAATTGTTTATTTAAAACCAGTCTGATCAAAATTTGATCGTAATTTGCGTTTTGCAAATCACTTGTTTTATATTTTCAAATGTTGCATATATTCCCACCTATAGCATACTCTTAAAAGTAAAAGATATTACAAAAGAACGAAAGATTTAAAAAATTAAGCTAAAATAAATCCAGAATATATTTATAATCAATATATAAATAGATAACACATTTCATAAATTCTTAAAATGAATGGACTAAGACATATACGTACATAGATTTTGTCTGTACACAATAGGAACTCAAAAAATATATGTATATACACACACACACATATATATATATCGAAAAATATATATCTTATAAAAGGCACCATAAATATCAGGAATGCAATCTATTCAAGCTAAAAAATTAGACGACATGACATTTCAAAGTATTGGAGAAAATAGAAAGTACAAAATTAAATATAAAGATATATCTTATTATTATTTAACTATATTAAACAATATAAGTGAAACGAATAGAGATTTTATGTGTATCAAAAATAAATTTGTTATATTGTAATAAATTATATTACAATAATATATTTGTTAGTTAAAATTTCTTGTTTATTGTATAATATATACGAAATAGGAGAAAAATTTGTTCGTAAGATTATCTTAGCACAGTTTGATGATTTTATTTCATTCCTGATTTTTCAGTCAACGATTTTGATTTAAATAAAAGTCGCTAAAATAAAGAAATTTTAAATATTATTTTGTGGCTAATAGTACAAATAAAAGCATTTTAAAAATGTATAAGTTTATCGAAGGATGTACAACAGAGTTTAATTTTTTCACGCATAATTAATACTTTGTTTCTATGGTCAATAGTCTTTTAATAGTATATAAATTTTCATTACGATTGTAACAAACAACTATATACGTATTTTATAAACAACTATATACATATTTTAGAAATAGTGGACTCTTATATTAGGAACAATAAATTCTCGATTGTGTGATTTTGTAATTAATTTTTATGAATTATGTCTTTATCATGGTATATAAACGTATTAATATTTCAACAAACTTTACAATAATAAATAAGCAGTTAATAAATAAATATTAATTTTCCTGCAATAAAGTTGAATAGTCCGGTTTTTATAATAGCTTATTTACTCCGCGATTAATTACGCATTATAAAATCGAGTATCGAAAGTGCCAACTGTCCTTTTGTTTGTCGACGTATTATCTTGTGATTAAGATATCTTTAACTTTAATCGTTATAATATATAAATATTTTCCAGTGGTACAATATTCTACATGAAACTTAAACTTATAGACTCCAAAATCTTTTTACTTACTTCTATATTTACCTATATGACGCATAATAAAGAAATACTATTTCTCGCTGTATTTTTTGATTCGAGAGAATTTACTAGTAAAACGCTTTCATGATAAGACATCGACTCAATTTTCCTGATTGGCCATCATATCTAACTCTTCTTTATCCTCTTTCGAGATGTCGACATCTCCGTAACCCCAAATGTGACTTCCGTCACCGTAGCGAAGCGCTCTGCGACGGATCATCATCGGCGAAACATACTTCCGATCGTAAACCCAGCCGATCCGCGCGAACGCATCGATGAAGGCGGTGCTTAAATTGAAAGAGTAATCGCCCAACTCGCTGGTCTTGTAGTCCCACGGGAATACATGATGATAATTGTGATATCCCTCACCGAGAGCCGCGATCGACACCGCGAAGTTCTCCACCGGCGAGATGTTCCTACAGGCGAATCGTGATTAAAAGACTGTCATTTAAATGAGACGAATTTATCTCGCGTAGGAAATTTATCGGTAGATAAATAAAATTAAAGAATGAGGAATAAAATAAAATCAATAAACTGTGCTAAGATAATCTCGACAATAAATTATTTTTGAATTTTGCATATATTATGCAATAAATAATGAAATTTTAGTCTATTCTCGATTATTTTGATACAAGTGATGATTTTTGATAGTTTCTCGATTCAATACATACTTATCGTAGGGTTTCTGTCCCCACGAGTGTGCCACGCTGTTAACGCAGAAAGCTATGTTTAAGTTTATGCCAAAGCGGAGGTTGAAGTTTACCCAGAACGAAACCCACAACGACTCCGACCAATAATACCAAGGAACGAACACCGGCAGTCCTATGGTCAGAAGCGCAAATAGAGGTATATACAACCTGCAATTAAATTAGACGATATTAAATCGATTAGAACTAAAAAACAATATAAAAGAAACGATAAAAATGCTATTTCTAATGTATACATTTTTTCTTATATATATATTTTTGTGTCGCTACTACAAGCGATATGATTGAACAAAGTCGCTTGCCTTTTCTGCCACATAACTATAGGATCAGCTTCCAAGTCGCTCATGTCGACGGCGTTGCGCTTGGCAACGACGTCGGGATGAGGCGTCGTAAAAAGCCACCCCACGTGTGCGAAGAAGAAACCTCTTCTCACGTCATGGGGGTCCGCGTCGGTTTCGCTGTATTTGTGATGTACTCTGTGATCCAATGCCCACGTATATACGTCTTTCTATACAAGAAGAATATTGTTAAAATCCTTATTAAAAATGCAGTGGTTCTTTCACACGTTTGTGACGACATATTTTATACATCATGCACAAACATAATTTTTGACGCGAGTTACGTACATCGCGTGATAACGATGATGATGTACTTGTGCTGTTATCACGATAATAATGAAAAGTTAGTATTGTGTAAAAATTCGAATTATTACGTAAGGATATACATACTTGTCCCGTAATCGTGAATAGGAAGATTAGAAGCAGACGCAGAGGCCATTTCGCTTTGTACGATTTATGCGACCATAATCTGTGAACGCCAGCCGTAATGCCGAATCCGGATATATAAATTGTTATGAACACTGTAATCATAAAAGCATAAAACCATCAAAACACTCACTTAGCAGCATACATTTGAATGTTTAAAATCTAAGTATTGTAGTCCATTTGCTAGATTGGATTTTGCAATTTGATTGAAAGTCTGAAGTATTAAATCTATTTTCTACTTTATCGGATTTAAATACTAATAATATTTTTTACACATTTAACATTGATTCTTGTAGAGATAAATAATTTTCAAAACTCGCAGAAAAGTAATGAGAGTTGTGAATTATGTGAGTAACTAGTAGCTAAGCTAATCAACTCGTAATGGTTATTTTTTCTCTACATTTTTTAGTTGCAACGAATGAGACGTGATATTCGCGGAACACGTTCACCGCGAATGCAGAAATCCGAGACGCGATATCGTTATTGCGGTTTACTCTTCCGTTTTATGCTGGCAGGTTCAAGCCATACGAGTGCCGGCTCTATACGCCAATCAAACGTAAGTGTGCGCGTTTGTGTAATCGTATTACCATTATCGCTTTTCTCATAAATACTTTTGCCATACACACGTTATCCTCCCATTCATTTTCTACAACCAATGCCGATCCATGAACCGATCTGTAAGTTGTAATCAGCTGTGTATGACGTGAATTTATTTAAGGCGCCTGGCATCTTGGCAAATGCACACGCACAACGCTTAGTTAGTGCCGGCTTTTATGACCGCGTCAACAAGCGCAAACTACGGTACTTCTGATATGTACATTTGTAAAATAAACTTGGTGAATTAACACGGCGATAGCGACAAAGATATTGCAAAATTATGATAAGGAATATAAAGAAATTAGTGTATAAAAGATGAGGTACTTAAGCTTAAATTATATTTTCCTTTAAACTTAAGCCTTAAGCTTAATCCTTTTAATATAAATTTTTTTAGTTTATTAAAAAGTCAAAGTCTGCTCGTCTATTGCACGCGAATTCGTAGTAAATTGCATTTAAAAACTAATAGGTTTTTGTCGGTGTAAAATCTAGTCGAGTGTTACGGCGCCAGAATAGCAGATATTGTTGCAAATGATCACCGACCTACATTTTTACGTCATCATTATTACCGGCTATCTGATGTTTACTATTTTTTACTTTTAACATTTTCATATTTCTACGATAATAAAGAAAGAAATCGTAGCATTGATTTATTTATCAAATGTAAATTTGAAGTTCTGGGGTTATCATAATTAAATTATGATTAAAAAATGAAAGTTATTCTTGCGTCAAATTTAAACTATTTTTATTATATAATTTATTATATATTTTTATTATATAAAATTATCAGCGAAATTAAAGACAAAAACTAGAACGCGAGATACAACAATCTGTATAGATAAAATAATGTTAGTCATTGTTTAATTAATATTACGATACGAAGCAGTTTTTCTGTATTACTAGTGAACTCTAATGATTTATCTAGATTGTAAATTCAGATATACCTTTTTTTTGCTGTTTTATGTGTCAATTAGGTTTTTATTTTGATAAAAACTTAAAATTAATATTTAGAGCAGCGCGATAAGAAGATTATATGTATCTGGTGTCCCAAATATTCAAAACGCAAAAGCGTAACTCATTAAAGTTGGTAAAAAAAATATCTCCGTTAAAATTATAAAAATGTAGCAGAAATTGAGGATAAAAAATATTATTCTTATATAGAGAGCAAGTCAATACTCGTATTAAAATGTTGAAATTTATAAAATTGCAAGTAAATTTGAGGATAGTACATAGATCGATTATGAACCAAGGAGATTTGCCTTACCCCACAGTGTTGTGAGTAGCTTTGCCTGCGTGAACACCAAATAGAGACCGTAGAGACCACCGGCGTGTATAAAGATTTGCGCGCCGAGATCCAACCACTTGATCCTTGGCACGTATTCAACCTTGACCTCGGTCGACTCGTCCTTTCGTACTGTCTGTTGCTCCTTCGCGCTTATCGATCCGCCATTTACGATCCGGTTGCTCTTCAGTGTATTGTTCATTTCGGTCGTGGTTGCCGATGATATCCTGTTCTCGTTCGGCGACATCTTTGATAAAGGATGGTGTTTCTTGTGTCTTCTAAGCACGTTTGGAGACCATCTGCCGAACACTCAAATGCCGTCGTCGATCTTCCACGGATTGACCTAATCAATGCTCTGCATGTCAATCAACTTTCCCAAGGTTGGCCAATGCGCGTGACGCACTTTATCGATTGCGAAAAATCGATATGAGCGAGTTCCGATCGAAATTTCAGATTGATTTTGCGACAGAATATTAATGATGGCAGCTATAAAACAAAAGAATTGTTAGTCAATATTTTTTTCTCAACAATGTTCTGATGGCCTAAAACAATTTCAAATTCATCATACAAATAAAAAATTTACATCGAGATTTGTAGGACTTTCTATACACTTATGTAATTTTTCGATGATTCGTTTCTGGAATAAAAGTCAGTGCAATAGAAGTCAGACAAATATTTAAGAATACACATTCTAGCACATTACATATTGATCGCTGATAATGCCACCTGATTCGCACGTTGTGATAAGATTACTCACAGTTCCAAGTATTCATAAAAGCTTGTTATTAAAAGAATTGTCTATTCTAGAAATATTTTTTATCGCGTTTGATTCCTTAAACTGATTCAGCATATTTATCTTGTATCTAACTTCAGCTTTGCACATTAGTGCAAATTAACATTCAATAAACATCGATCTTCAACTATTGTTAAAATTAGATTATCTTTTTGCAGAGCATCTCGTATAGTTTAGTGTCATTTTTAATAATCAACTGACTTTGGTGACTAGTGTATTTTCTAACTCAATTTTACGCGAAGTCATACAAATTTATGCGAATTATGGCAAGGCTGCGTCTCGTTAACACGTTACGTATATCGCGGCATGTATGTAAATCAACCGAGCATGACTGCAGGAACATTTTCCATGCTGCTAAATATGTTGTTACTTGATAGATTAACTTCTCATTACATCTAGAATTTTTATATAATCAAAGCATAGTTTAATGGCGACAAAATTCAGGCATGCAAATTACATTCAAAGAGGCAATGAAGACAACTTTATTATTTTATCAATAATAATATACATGACGATATTGCATAGTAAAAATTTTTATTGCGAAAGCAAAATTGTATAACCGCACAAAAAGTTAAAACCTGTACTAACGCGCTAAATGAGAAACCGCCGGGAACTCTTGACATACTAATTTGCAAAAAACGATAATACTGCAGCAAAAAATTTCTAATGTTTAAAACGCAAGAATTCTGTACACATTATGCAGGCACAGGATATAAAGAATCTAATTGATAATAATTGTTATATAAAATTATTTAGTAACATTTTTATCACCACACATTTTCTTTTCTAGGTTTTGCAAATTGCGATTATTGCTCGGTCGATCATAGGTTATAGGCACTAAACGCTTTTACTAAATATTTTATTTAATTTATTAAAATGAAAAAATATATTATATGTTGCAGGCATTAGCAAACTAGTTTACTATTTATTATTTTATATTAATATTTAATTGATAATTAATAATTGTCAAAATTATATTAGACAATTATTATAAAATTTATTTGAGCATTTAAGGAAAAAGTGCCTCCTTTTTTGCACATTTCCTATTTTTTTCTCGAACCATCTCTTTGTAAATTTGGAATTCGATCAATTGGCGTATAGCAGCTTGTACCCAATATTCGGATACATTTGCAAGAGTATCCTTATCACAACAACGCGTTATGTGACACGAGTTTGAAATCTTCTAAGTCGACTGATCGTATTCCACGCTGAAAATACAAAAGCTAAGCAAAACGTAATAAAATTTACATTTCATAATGATGATTAGCAATGATTTTTGTTTTACTTTGCATTATAATAACATGTATCTACATGTTGGTAATTTATTGAACATCAATTTGTAATTTCTTATTTATATATTGTATTTATATAAGTTGTATATATATATATATATAAAATATTATTTATTATCAAATTAATTTATTATTGAATCAATCATACTATTTTATTAACTTATTAAACTTATTAATTTCTATTCTCTTGTCATATATAATTGATCTATATAATTAACTCTAAATTTAAATTCAGATGTTTTGATAAAGTTTAAAGTTCAATGATTAGCTGAATAATAATAATAATATTTTTATTTATATTTTACTTAAAAATTGCCGCTTAATCACACACTTCATGCATTAATACGTACTGTCACGCACAGTCAACTTTCTTATGTAAATCTAAGCTATAATCCATTTGCCTTATCAGATTTTGCTCAGTTTATGTGTGTATAATAATAAATGAGTTGATCTTTTGTGTTCCACATTATTCCACATAAGTCAGAAATATTTGTTTGCGAAAAAATATTATCTTGACAAGTTCAGGTATTTTACCATCGGCTTAATTATAATATGTTGGTGGACGTAAGGCGCCGGACCGGCCCCATTACGAGGCGCTTTGGGTTCATTCAGAATCTAAAGGTCAATTCACATCGTGTTGTCGTGGACTTTAGAACTTTGACACATTTGCGTAATAAATACGTGCTTATATATACATTGTGATTGATAAAAATAATTTTATCAAAGTATTTTCCGGTTCATAACTATCATAGTCACTTTCTGATTCTTTACACTGCCACATTGTTCTTGATACGTTAGATAGGCTCAATAAAGATTCTTAAGTTTTTTTGTTTGCGATACATACACTACGTTGTGAAAAATTAAAATCAGCTATAATATTTAATGAAAAACTCGTCGAGTTTTGTACATAGTAATCGCAAGGACATTACATGCGCATTCAGTGATCTTATATGTGTGAACGGGGTATATAAAAGAATGCGTGGGTTTCACATTGACGCCGCGCTCTAACAAATTACGACATGTCCATCTTTGCGCTTCTTTGATGATGTAATACGTCGTAAAATGTGAGTATCTTCTCTCTTCGGCAAGCTCGCTTATTTTTCATTTTTCGATTTTTTGTGTCCACATACAAAACTCGTATGAATAAATGTGTATCTATGAAATAATAAACAGACAAACAATACACGTCTGCAATTACGAAAGCCATCTAAACCACATATTTTTAAACAATTATATTATAAATTAAAATATAATTTTTTATTGCTGCAAATATTTCTTTTTTATTTCAATTTTTTCTGCAAAGATAAAATTTATAAATAATTTATACACTCACAATTTATTATGATGTGCATGTATATAAAATAATAATAATAATAATTAATATATTAATTTTGAATAAATTTTTCTACTTGTAAAATGTTCGGACTGATTGTCTAATTACTGGGCTGATAAAATTTTTACGAAATATTTAATAGAATATAGATTTGGAATAAGACGCAACACACGAACACATAAATACGTAATAATATACAATACAATGCGACAGATATCAAATACGCGATATTCAACACGACTTATTATTTAATTGCAAAAAACGGTCCGCGAGATTTAGCAACATGTCGAATCATGCGATATTCTCTCGTAGACAATTGCGAACAAACGTGTCACGTACGATCAATATTTCTTCGCTCGCATATGCGCCGGTTTGGAATATCTCACTTTCAATCTTTGACAATGATGAACATCGTACATATGTACGCATACATTCTGTCGCGACGTTTTATTCTCCCCTACTAACCTCCCCCTTTGTTACAATTATGTTATTTGCTTACCTCATTTAATTGTTTGCGAGCTATTCTTGCAACGCCGATCGTCACTCGGGTCAGTTTTACTTCAGTGGCGTTCTTCGAATTATTAACTTAAATGATTTAAAACTAATTATTGATTTTAACAAATGCAAAAGTGTTAAAGATATTCACTGCACAAATAATTCTTAAAAATCATTGCGAAATGATTACATTTTACTTATCATTTTAACGTTATACTTTAATATTGAAAAATATACGTTTGTGCTGCACACCCGTTATATCGTCGCCAATAAGAGAGATGCGTCGTCAGTGGCGCCATGGATCCTAAGTATAGGGGATAGATTTGAGGTTGTTTCATCAATGGATAGAAGTCGTTCACATTCCTTCATTCCGATATTACTTTGTAGAATAGTATTCATTTCTTCTGAACGGATAGTGATAAGCCGTCTCGATCAGCGGTTACAAATTAAAACATAATTTCTTAATTTCTTTATTACAGCACGTTGCACAATTTAGTATAAAAATTATTTGAATTTTCAGAAACACCGATTATATTGATTTAACACAATTTATTGAAGCCGGTTTACTTGCTTTTAGCCAGATTTTATAATTTTACACTTCATAAATTAAGGAATACATCGACTAAGTGAAATGAAAACGATTATTAATTGCGTGCGTCGTTCGCATTATCACTCGCAAGTTAAAAATCTTCAATAATCGATTCTACGGATTTCTTATCGTAAGATTGCAAACTGCCTCTCGAAATATAGCACCGTGATTCAACGCACCTGTGCCTACAAAACTCTTAGATAAGAAAAATCTTATCGAGCGATAGCGAAGGAGTTGATAGTTGCAACGACGGTATAGATTGATCACGCAAGCATCGATCTCCCTGTCTCGTGAATGAATTGATCGCAGAATGAATCACTACGGGAATTGAACGACATTATAATCGACGTGACTCACTGCATCGCCGTCAAAGAAACAGCAGCGTAATTCACTACTACGTAATTACACGATTTGCTATAGTTCTTTAAAAAATACTCCCAAGATTAACTGCGCCGTACTTTTATGACTTTTTTTATGAAATAATATTATAAAAGATTGTAAAATTTTTTACTCTAATTAAACAATTGCTGTTACTTTGGGGTGACGACGTTTGTGTCTCTATTTCTCAACAGTTTCTTATTTCCGTGCGTGCGAGGCGAAGCACGTATTTTTGTCCAATGAGCTATATATATGTATATCATGAAGTTCACCGCAATAGTAGACGCGAGTATTTGTTGAAGAACTGCAATAACGTGGGTTAATTTCCGGAGCAACAATTTTGCTGGAAGTTTATTGCGAAAAACCACTGATGTGATACACAAGGATGTGTCATCGGCTCAAAGATATTTTTTATATATTCGTAATCTCACGCGCTCGCGTTATTTCGCAGTGGTTGTAACTGGTTGTGAGATAACTTATCAATAGTTTGGAAATTATGCGCAAGTTGATAAATAAAAATGTTGCACAATTTTCGTGATTAAACTCCAGACAAATTAATTTAATGCGGTGGACGAGCAGACAAATTACCAAAATTACACCTTAGGCAGTGAAAACTAATTGAATGTAATCTTCCAGGACTATGACCGATCCCTTGATAAATTTTGATCAGCTTCCCCGGTGAGACAATCATTAACTTCAAAATTGGTAGCTATAATTAAGTAATGGAAGACAGCGTAATTATCTTACGCTGTAGCAATTATCTTACGCTGTAAAGATAGCACGATTATTTACATTGTTATTTTTCGTGAAAATTAAGATTTTAACAAAGTTTTTTTAAAGTTTTTTAAATTGAATGAAACAAAAGACACTGTGTATATGTATAGCAGATAATAACACCGAAACTTCTTTGCTTTATTTTATTATGTTTCAAATAATATTTTTATGTATAATTACGAACGATACAAAGTATCGAGACTAAGTAGAGTATTTGAAATTAAATGAAAACATAACGCTAAAAACCGGATGAGAAAAGCAATTTTAGGATTATAAATTTGATTAGAAAATATCTATTACACTCGTGATCGATTACGATTTGTAATTGATTCTCCTAACGTTATTATGCTCTAGTCATCGCAATGATTAAATAACGGAATTCACGTACTCAATTAAAGTCGAAGGATAAAAATAGTGATGATTACTGTCAATGTAGCATGTAGGTAGTATAAATTATCCGACTAAGTAAGAACTATCCGACGTGATATGACAACCGAGAAAGCGACGACGAAACAAAAAGGGACAAACACACAGATGTGTTATTATTCCGCATTTGTTTTGAATCATTTATCTTATTGAATGTTAAATGATTATTTAAATTGAGACGCCTAACTGCGCTATGCGTATTGATGATTAAAGTCAACGGCAAAGAACGCCAATTGATCGGGTCATTCAGTTTATCTGTATGGTGTGCTCTGAACGTGCTTCTGTTATGTCGAAAAGATTCAACGTATGAAACATTGAACTAAAAAACAAAACGATAAACGGTATATATAATTCTCTTATCACGCGGAAGCTTATTGTTAGTAAAATTATAAGATACTCGGGTAAATGTCCCTCGTATTCTTTAGACGCATGAGAAAAAATATATTAACGTTCAATATACTCGTACTTTAATAGATTCTGTCTATTTAATTTGTTCTAACATGTGAACGAATTTAAATACTGGACAGTAAGTGCTGGATTCGGCTAACGCGGTAATTAAACTTTCAAAGGTAATTAAACGCGCATGCATTACTATTCTCGTGTTAGAGTGCATTAAGACAGAAGTTATAAATTATCGTGGAATCGTGGAAAGTCCTGTCCTACTCTTTCCAATAATAGTGCCGCGATCAATAAGTGAGAAAAGTATTGTTGCTAAAGGCACGCGCCGTTTCGCGACTACAGGAATTAGGAACTTATTTTACGATTCGTAAAACGATTTAATTCATCTGTTCCAAGTGTCGTCTTGGTCTCATTTATGCCCGGTGTTTAACCAGAATTTATAGTTCACGGTCGAATCGTTCTTTATCCTGTCCGTTCTCGTTACCGAGAACTTTTTAGCATTGTCCCCGCAGTCTCTCGCTGCTGACATCAGCATACATGATAAAAAAGATAGAGAGATAAATCATAGAAACACAATATCCAGTAAATGTAATTCAAAAGAATTTTTTTTCTATTTTTAAAACGACTTGTGATCTTAATACTTTGACAGTCGCACGTTTCACGCAATACTTTTACCTGTCGTACAGTATTTCTCATTTAGAAGTCACGTCTACCTGATAATTGTTGACTAGCAAAATCACGTATCTACATGATCGTACAACGGCCATTCAAAATATTATGTAATTATATATTTCAACTTGTCACATATTTTACATATTTATCTAATAATATATAAATATGTAAATTTAAGTATTTTGTCTTTGAAATTTTCATAAAAAATTCATGAAGTGTTGTCATACATGTTAAAAAAAGTAAAACTGTCTAGGATTATCTAGGGTTAACAATGGTGCGTTATTTGAAAGCGTAGAAAAGTGTGTGCATTCATGCAATGAATTTCGTATTCAAATCCACGCCCAGCGTTACGTGTGTTATACAAGATCTGTACGTGACAAGCGAGTGCCTGTCACGGTTAAAAAAACGCCTCAAAGTCGATAACGATGAATCATAAGAAACGCACATAGAACAGCACATATCGGGAAAAAATCGACTTGAATTTTATTTCCTATTAATAGAATTGTCAGAGAATAATAGAAGCAAAGAATTTTTTTTATCTAACATTTATCAATAAATTTCAATTTACAAAATATACAGGGTGTTTTATAATGTTCGTGCCAACGCTCGTGTGCGGGTAGAGTGCGGTAAATTGAATAAAAAAGTCCTTTACTGATTTGCAATTTTTGCAATAATAATTGAGATATTAATTAAAAAGGATTAATGAATAATCGCGCGTTGCGCGTGGGCTGTACGCTCTAGGCGTGACAGCAACAAAGATCGCACGGCAACGAAAAATAACAACGCGTATTACTCCCGCTCTCGCCACGCGTTATTATTTTTTCTTACCGTGCGATCCTCGTTGCTGTCACGCCTAGAGCGTACAGCCCACGGTCTAACCATAATATGTATATAATATATATATATATATATATATATATGTGTATAAGTATAATAATATACCATACTGAGACGTATATTTAACGATGAATAAATGGCAAAAAACTATTGTTTTAATTAATGAAAAAAATATCGAGGGCATTAAGAATAAATAGACGTTGCAACAAGCGCGAATTTTAAAGTGATAATTTTTTTATCATTGCTACATGATAGAACATAAAAAATTCAACGTATTACTAATTCATCTTGCATGTTTTTACGTGTCAACATCTTCCTTCTTGCTATGTAATCTCATTTATCTTGCCATTTATTAATCATTAAATATACGTCTCACAATTAATGAAAATTCAGATAACTTATCATTTTATCATTAATTTTCTTGATCACAGTTAAAGTCTGTATTAGCAAAAATCTGTAGAAATTATACAGTTAGTATTTAAAGAATAAGAAGCACGCGTATGTTTTTTCATCCGCGCTTCGTAATAACGTAACTATCGTTGAACTGATCACTTTCTATTATTTGTTATATCAAATATGAATTTTATCTTTCGGAAAAAGACGATCAATAAGTTCAATTAACTTAATAGATATTATAACTGATATAAAATTATTTTAGTTTATTTTATCTGGAGATGTATGTATGAGTCCTCTTCAGAAATGTAAAAATGCAATTATTCTAAATAGAAAATCTAAATGTGTTGAATCTGAAGACGATCAACATGATATAAATAAGCGACATATATGCAATTTAAAAGATTACTCTGGAGCCAATTCTGAGATTCGAGGTCACACGACACATTATATAGGCATATGCACGTCGGCTTCCAGACATACCTGTACTCTACACTTACATGAGGCGGAGGTAACGGTGAAGAAATATACAAGCGATTGCGTGCGTCAGATATGTGGGAACACAGTGTTTTTGACGCTTGGTAAAAACGTGCCGTTAGAAATTACATAATGCAAAATATTAAAGAATTCACATAAATTATGAAACAATTTAAAAATATCTATCTTACCGAAAGTAGAAAGCTCAAAGATTGTACATCGACATCAATTACGTTAAAATAATTTAACTAATTTTTCTTTTTCCGTATCTTTAGTCTAAATTGACAACCCACACACGAGTATGATTGATTGTCTGTCTTTCTTTATAAAGACGAAAAGTTGTTTAAGCTCACTTCCCTTTAATTAATTACTTACTGCGATTAATGTGGTACAAAAAGAAAGTTAAACATAGCAATTATCTAGAATTATCCGTAAATATTACAACGATCGCCAAGGTGTTCAATATTGCGCGTAAGTCTCGGTCTGTTATAACGAATGATTTGCGCGGTTAACACGTTTTCCGTGCCACGTGTGGCCCACGCTGAACTTTCCATTCAGGCCGTTTAATATTTTGAGTACAAACAAACACATTATCACAAAACATTTTATAACTTATTTCTTTTGATCTACACTGCATTTTGTAAAATATCTTTTTATTTTGATGATAATATCATTTTGATGATACATTTTTCAATTTTAAATTTATTATAATATATACGTTTTGAGCTCAAATAATAAATGCACCAGCGTGGACCATCGGTTGACCTGATTGGAAAGTCACGCAAAAACGGCTTGGAACGTATTATATGCTCAGTATTTGCTTATTACGTGATTTCGAATGTCCCAGAGAACGTCTCTGTTCTCTTGTTTACGCTGTGTCTACCTCGAGGATTATTAGATATTATCTCTAACACTGCCGTCAATCATGTATATATACTTGCTGATAATTATTCGGTAATTCCTGCAAACTATTACACACACGGTGCGTGTTATGTCGAAAATAGGTTACACGGCGAAATAAAAATGAATTTAATTGGTGCCCGACCTCGTGGCCCTGATCTCGCAAATCACGTTTTTAATTTATCCTTGGCTATAACTAACATAAGTAGCATTAGCTTGCAGAATATAATCTAACTATAAAAGAAAAAACGCTATCTATTGAAAACGAATTCTTTCTGGATGAAAGAGAAATCAGATGAAACCAAAAAAAATACATGTAACATAACTTTTTTTTTTTACATAAAGTATTAATATTTGTTTAATTAATAATTGATAATAATCGATGGAAAATTATCTTTTAAAATGACAAATATAGTCAGTGCTGATTCATAAAAATTGTTTATCAAATTTTTTTCAAATTTTAGCAATTATACTCCTTTTCAAATCAATATTTTAACATAATACAATTTTATCACGATGATACTCTGATAAGACTGATTAGAAACGTATCACGCCGACATTATCAGCATATTCCAACGATAAAGCATTTTGTCAGGTGTATCATAATCTTAACTGTACTTTATACACTCTCTAATTGTATTCAATTCGAAGTTCCGGAATAGCATACTTACCGCGAGGAATATAACGCGACACCTGGTCTTCTCCGAAGTTGCTCACTATTTAACAGGATATCACGTGGTGATTGTCAGCCTTTCTCTGGTCCCTCCGCGATAACGCTGGCGATAAGGTTCTTGCTTCGGAGATCTTTTTCTAGTTCAGTTAATTTGAATTTGTGATTTAAATGCGCGTAATTAAGTTGTTTTGTTACGCATGTGTGCGTAAATGTCAAAAGACAAGAAAAATTGGTAACAGAAATTCTTCGAGCAGATAATCAATCTTCATAAAGCTTAACTAGAATCTTTCTTTTCTTTTCGTGAAGTGAATTGCTAATTGAGGCCGGGTGTTGATGCTACGACGCGTGCCCAATCAGCTGTTCGGCTTGCGTGACCGGCGTTGCTGATTAAAAGACATCAAATTATTTCCCGCGCGAGATAAATCTCATCCTTTGTCACGCGAAACCCTCGCGATGTAAGAGTAGAAAAAGAGTAGATTATTAAAAAAATTTTTTTTACTTCACTATTATATGTGTGCGTGTTCTTTCACTTGTGGATGTGAAACTTCTAATGCGCTCTCGCGTTGCGACGCGCGCTTTTAAACCGAAGAAAGTCACAGAGTCACACTATCGGTTAATCACCGAGTTTTTATGTTGAAAATCATTGATTTATGATGCAAAATATCTAAGAAAACCTGCAGCCGCTTGCTGATAGGACACGCGCACGGAAACTGAGCGTCGGCGTGACGTGCCGGCTTTCACACGACGACGAACTCCCCCGTTTCGAGCACCGCCGGCATCATCATCGATGCTGGCACAGGATTTCTGTTGTAGTAGATGGCGCTACATGGATCTATAATTGGTGAGATTTGTAATTAAAGAAACTTCTGCTACTATCCCAAAAGAATGCAAAGATAAGTATTTGAATAATAAAGCAAAAAAAAAAAGAGTCAGATTTTCATTATTTTCTATTTTTTAGTGTCGCTAATATGTATAATATACACAGTATTATATTTTAATATCAGAGTTATTCGTATATTACAAATTAATTATAATAAATTAATTATTAAACACTTCTAAATTTTAAAGCAAAATAATTTTAGGAGAATTTTGAAAGTTTATATTTTGGGAGAAAACAAATAGAAGATATGTATAATGGGATTATAAATGCTTAGCTATAAAACGTAGGATTCTATAGTTTGGAAATTAATTTTTCTTGGTGAGACTGTTATGACAATTTTTAAATATATAGCAAAACATTATTTATTTAATTTCAAATAGATTTTAACAGAAATGTAATTTAAGAATTATTAATTAAGAAGAACTTACTTAAAAACTAGCATGAAGAATTCAAATCTTCTTTAATCTTATTTAGAGAAATATAAAATCTAGTGTGTGTTATAAACATAATATTCAATGCAGACTATCTTCGGATAGAAGATTAGTATATGGTAGGAGAATCCGATTATGCGAGCGTGTCGGCTAATGAACCCATATATATTCAATTGAATGGAAAATCGATCCACTCATTTTATTGATACGCGATCGGTGTCATATCAAAATGCATTGCTAGATACAGGTGGAGAGATGATAGTTTCGATCGATATCGCGTATAGGTTCGGCGAACTGTAGGCGTACACCATTGTTCATTATTGTCGATGTTCCACAATGTGACAATTTGACGCACTAAGCGTGACCGACTTTTGTAATAAAATTACATACATCCGACGCACATTCTAACTATATATTTGAATGCTTGAAGCAGAATAAAATTAAGTTTTCTATTTTCTATTAAAATAATTATTATAGAAACAAAAATTAAAAGGTTTGAACAATTAAATAAATCTAAATAAGAAGACTGTGACGATTCAGAAACAAACATGTACACAACATAACAACCACAACACATTGAAAATAACAACAACAATATACCAAAAAAAAAAATGTTTGCAAACATTTCAATCTGTTATCAGAATGTTTTTAATATTAGACATATGAAAATTGTGATTGTTAATCTCCTTATCTTTCTATTTTTAACTTATTACGTATTACATTATTACGTATGCATAATTTCGCTAGTCAGCAGTTATCAACCGACGTGACTTCTAAGTAAAAGATGCTGGCGATAGGCGAAAATATTTGCATAAAACGTACGGTCGTCAAAGTGGTAAAATAGTTACTTTGTTAATTTGATGTTAATAGCTTTCAAAAAATTGGATACAATTTTTGCATTTACATTAATTCCAACTCGTATAAATCGATTACGCTATATAACATATGATAAAATCTTCGTCTGCAATGCTTTCAAGTGCATTGAAAAAACATTTGACACTGATTTTTATTATAATTTATTTAGTTTACAGTAATTAAATATCAAATGCTTTATTTAAACAAGATTCGAAAACAAAAGAGTCGCGCATGATTTCTGTTATCACTTCGCAATAACGTTCGCCGACACGCCGCGCGCGGCAGCACAAATCGAAAAAGTCGTTGTCGTAAATTGCAACTTGCAATTTTTGTTTTAACATCTTTCTAATTTGCAAATTATTGCAGCCAAATTCCCGAATTCATTCACTATCATTATGGTAATGACTATAGGTTTATAACAATTTAATTGTAATTAAAAATTAAATTCAAAAAACAATAGATTAATTTAAAGATATATTTCAATTATAGCTAAATTTGAACTTGATATAAAAATTAAGACCGTCGATTCGATGAAATCCTGCGTTATTACAAAGTCGATAATTTTATTCGGTATTCCACCTAACCATCCAGTAAGTATTACTGATATTTATTTTAGGTAACCGAAAGAGGTAAAGTCTACCAAATGGTTGGAATAACCGACCCTAAAGCGAGATAATTATTTGTTGTGATTGGACAATGCCTTTTGAGAAGACTTACAAGATGGTGACATGATTTTACATATTATACGAGTTTTATCGGCTTGAAATATCGCAGACAGTCTACCTTTTCACTTTCGGCCCTGCGATATGGCCCAACTTCTGACTCGTGCGTTAGAGATTGACGTATGTCAATTGAAGTTATAGCACTGTTAATTACACAGATGTCTATACTAGTACTAGATCGCTAACTTCGTCAAAAGAGCTGAGGCCGGCAGGATTTCCGGTTTCGGCCATGACACCCTACAACAAAATGGCGACAATGCGTGTGTTATGTGTATATCTGTACGTGCGTATGCACATGTGATACCCGGCGTGGTGATACAAATTGATAATATTGTAAAAATTCTTGAAAGATGCCGAGCAGTTGTTGCATTCCAAAATGCAAAAATACCCCGAGTCGAAATTTAGCGTCTCTTTTAATGCTCATACAGCCTATATGAACCTATTTTTACGGAATTAGAACCTAGAACTCCTCTTTTAAAACTTGATCTCCTATAATTTGATGTTGAAATACTACTTTAAACCTATAGAGCCTCAC